GGGGAAGAATCTAAGCTATATAAGAACCTGAATGTAAAATCTTTTTTAAAGTTCCATTTCTCATCTATGTTTTCACGTAAAACATCTTATTGCAGAGTATCAACTTCTGTCTCAAAACTAGAGCTGTAGTTACAAGCTGATCTAATTAATAGCATGGCTAAACCCATTTTTTAAACGCAGACACTAAAGTAGAAATGTCTTCATTTATATACTCATCTCTTCACTTAGGATCTTTAGTTGTTACATAACTAAATGACAGCTTGAGTCTTCGTGCTCCGTTTTATGTAGTACTGTTTTAATTGTTCATATACAGTAGGTGCTGTAAATTCTTCAACTTTCTGCTATTTGAAGCGTCTTAATACCTAACATTTTTGTGCTCTTAAGTAAAAAACTAAGTGGAATTGTATATTTTTCTCAACTTTCCGAACTTCTCCTGGACAAGCTTCAAAATTTAATTCTAAATAAATGAACTTAATGTATTTTTCTAACTTTATGTGAAATGCTGATACTAGCTGTGCAGTAGATGCTGCTTTCTCAGTGCAGTAAAGTGTATTTCCATGTATTCAATTTTAAAAGAAGAATAGGTAATAAACCTTTTAATTTTTTTTTAGGATGAACTAGTATCCAGATCTAGAACACGCTATTATGCAAACTCTTTACAGCATAGAATTAAAAACCGGGTATGGCAGACGCTCTTAGTTCTTCTTCCGAAGCTTGACCAGGTATTGCTCTTCACTATGAATTCTTAAATAAATATCTACTTTCAAGAATAATGTGGTGTTGTGCAAACTGCATATGTTAAATTACAGCAAGGTATAAAAGGCATGTAATCTCTGTGGCTGATGTAGAAGTTTCGTGTAGTTTCATTCTTTTGGTCTGAAGTCATGGATTTAATGATGCATTTCTAAAGGTCACTGAAAACTGGGTCTTGGATTTGTGAATTACAGGAGACTAGATTGTTCCTGTTAAAGCTAGCTAAAGCTCTGAGCTGACTATCTGATATAAAGCTTTTCATTTAGTAAAAATGTTGCTACTTTATGAACACTCAGAAAATGAGAACTTTTAGTTTCATCTGATGCTTCTTCATAATAAATATCTGAAAAGTATAATAAATCAGATGGTTCTCAAATGTTTTCATTTGAGTATTAAAAATATTTCTAATATTATGATAAAGCTAAGAATGTTCTTTTATTTAGATTTTTTTTTTCATGGAAATAATTCTTAACAATATACAAAATGATCATCTGATCTTGTTTTCTCAGAATTTTTTGTGTGGAACCCTTGACAAAGTTTTTCAGGCTGGATTTGGTAACAATCAGGCATCTGTGAAATACTTCATAGAATGGATTGTTATTTTGAGTCTACATAAACACCCCCAATTCCTTAATAAATTCTGGGATTGCTTTTGCTATGTAAGTAAGAACTTTGGCATTTACTTGAAGATTAATTTGAACAAAGAGGGTACAGTTTGTCTTCCTATACCTTATTTTCTGTGTATTCCAATTTTCCTTTAGAAGCAGTGGGTTGTTGAGCAGATCAAGTTAACTTGGAAGTGAGTCTGAACTATAGTCTGAGACATTTAGAAATTTATGATACAGAAGTGGCTGAAGATAAGTGAATTCTTCCAGTTGAGAGATTTCCTTTTATAATGTACAACTCTGGGCAGAGTAGAGGTGCCCTAGTGAGTCAGAGTACTTTTTGCAGTCGCTGACAGAAGAACCATCAGGAACACATGGATGCCCAAGTTTCTGAGTTTGGGAAGATACTACAAAGTCACTTGTGGTTTCCACACCCAGCTTTTGCCTTCTGCATCTTGTTTGTCCGTGGGAACATGACTTGCATAACACGTATTCGATTTGCAGCTTTTGATACGGACTTCTTTCACGGTGGAGTTCTGTAATGTGATTCCAAAACTGGGGGCAAGGTTTGAATTATGGTACCTGAAAGTTGTGAAAGGGTTGACTGAGGAGAACTGACTTACTAGCTTTCATTGTCATGTCTTGGATTCTTCTTTAAGTAATTACCCATAAGAATTGACCTGTAGAAATAGTAATTATCTGTATTGATATCCTTGCATTTGTTAGCTTTGTACATTTAGACTGAGTAGCAAATGTATGCACTTGCATCTCCTCCAGTGTATAGGAAGACATTACTTGCAGTGGTGCCTCTGCTGAAGCTCACCACTCATAATAGTAAAATGTAGAGGTCTTCTGGCTTATCAAAGAGCCTTGTTGCTACTGTAGTTTTTTTAAAAAAGCCAAACAGTAGGACAAGAATTAAGATTAAATAAAAAAAATTGGAAAAACTGTATACATATGTATTTTCTCCAAAACGAGGCAGGTTTTTAATACTGCTGTGAGACAACATTGCTTGCTAGTGATGCGTGCTGTGGTTTGTTTGTTTTTTGTTGCCATGTTTTTTTTCTGCATAGGGGAAAAAACATCTCTTTCAGTTTACAACTTATACTTTTTTTTTAAGTGTATAAAGATGCCTTGTCATGCCTATCTGAACTGATGAAAAGTGCTATAAGGGATGTAACCTTTTCCTATTTCAGAGTTCCTTCCAGCAGCTCAGGCAGTTGGAGTTGCTATCATCTTAGCAGATGATAATCTATTGGATCTCATGCTGCTAACAAATGTACTGAATCACAGTGGGCCCATTCAAACAAACAGAGCAAGCAGAAAAGATGTGAATTTATGAAAAAGGAACACAGATTGTATTTTCAGAGGCTATCCTGGAAAACAGTGACTCTGAAAAGGTTTTCAGAATCATATTGAAAAATAAGCTGAACTTGAGCATCTGGTGTGGCAAAATGGATGAATAGGAACTGTCTCTGTAAACAGAAGTGGTGAAGAGAGTGTGGAAACTCCTTTCTTCTAGTACAGAACAGGGGTGAGGCTGATGCTAGGCTATTTGTTCTGCGTCCAGTACCCACATTTGTGATGACATGGAAAAGTGTGGGCACTGAAAAGAATTCGCAAGGTTTTTATTGGGTTTAGGGTTTTCCAGGGGGGGAAATACAGTGAATTCGGATGGAATTTTAGCTTATTTACAATGTTGTATACTTCATTCTGATTGATGTGTTAGTCAAAAGCAAATAACGTGTTAGGAAAAATGAAATCTTAATAATATGATCTTTATGTTTTAGTAAAATTTGCTGTGGAAACACATTTTTTTAATAGTGTTGTTGATATTGCATCTGCAGAACATGCTGTGAAAACTTATAGGGTATAAAAATGTTTTATGTATGCATATTTCTTGTTACATTCTCTTGCTTTAGGATGAAGAAAAGCTTAAAACAAGCATCTGCACATTTTTATCAGTGTTATCACACTTTGACATCGTTCTTCAAAATACCTCAGAGAAGGTAAGTTTGACCAAAAGTTTTAATTCTTTATTCAGTTGCACTGTATATGGAATTCTGAAATAAAAACGATTTTTGCAGCCTATTTTCAAAACCTTTTTAATACCTACTTCCTACTAAGGTATCCTTTGATATGGAAAACACTAACTCTTCCTGTCACCTCTGTAACATATTGGATTTATGATAATTAGCTAAATGGCAGATGTGCTGGATACATAGGGCCTGATTACCTGTGAGTGTTTCTAGAATAGCTGCTCGCTCCAGTTTTAACTAAACATGTGCCTGCACCTGGGTTTGTTTTTCTTGCTGATTTTGTTTAATCTGCATGAAATTGGCCAGAGATAACTTGGAAGAAGTTTATCTTCCTATAGAATAACAACACTCAATATGGAGTTCTTTGGCAATAGCTAGTCCATATTACATTTAGAATTCTTTATTTGGTGTTTTCAATTTTTTTAATTGAGCTTTAAAATAGAGGATGAAATACAGTCAGATTGGATCAACTACTTCACATCTGTAGCAATCCAGGCATTTCTGTTATTTTTTTAGTATTTGTAAGATCACCTAAGTGCGCCTAAGTGCTAGAAAATCAGAAGTAAATAGAGGTTTCTGTGTATTCAGAATAATAATTTTTAAAGCAAATTAATACATTTTTCAAACACAAGTGGGGCTGTAGGTCTGAGCCCTAGTGAGAAGGAAGGAAATCAGGACCATGTTCTGAAGCCTGTATTTGCACATATATGTACTGTTAAAGCTTTGGACTTTCTGAAAGGCTATTTTCTGAGGAAGCAACTGTTTCTTGGGCCACTCTTACTTTTCTACTTCTGAATGCTATGTTAAGACTTGACATAAATGAAATAAACTACTTTTTCTTTGCTTTTTTAGAAGCCAGCTTTGAAGAAAGCCCTCATAGTTGTTCTACAGTGGTGTTTCAACCATAATTTCAGCGTTCGACTTTATGCGTTAGTTGCCCTTAAAAAAATTTGGGGTATGTGCAGAATGTTGCATGTGGAAGAATTTGAAGCTCTGACACCAGTTATTGAATCTAGCCTTCAACAAGTGGAAAACATGCATGGCACAGGGTTAGTAACATTCTTCTGACTCAAAGCTTAACATTGTTCTTCTGAGCCGTTTGCAGCAAGTCTCATTTTCTAAAATAGCACTTGATAATTTCATTGGGGTTTTATGGGCTTTTTAACTCTGTTTAAAAAGAAACCAAAACTTGGAAATTGAAATGTAATTAGCAGCAAAGAAAATGAAGTGATAGTTCAGTGTAGCGTTACAGGGTGAAAGCACAAGAGGAGGAACTCAAGGCATGATTGAACAGTGCTTGTAGTTTAGAGGTGGGGTAAAAAAATACAGTCCGGAGTGCTTTATTTTCTTACCTGATGGCTTTTGAAGCAATAAAATTCATTCTTCCGAACTTCCTGATACCAGTAAATCTCAAATATAAAAACCCAAAATGTTTTTGGTGTTAATATTTGAAAAAACTTCTGTGGGAGAAAAATGGATAGAGTAACTAATTTGGGGTGATGATTAAATGAGCTTTACAGAAATGCTTTTCTGCTTACTGATTTGGAAATATAACAGTTCCGTTAAATTTTGTACTATCTATGTGTTTGTATCCTTTTCTAGCCCTGTTTTTAGGAGTTAATTAAAATTATTTAGAATTTCTGACAGTGTTGTCAGCCGGCATAAACTTGGGACTGCTGCTGACAGGCAGTTGTTTTTTCGTTTTGTTTGTTTGTTTTGAGAACATTAGTATTCATTTCCTCAATCAGTGTCACTGTTAAATCACCCAAGTTGGCACATCAAGAATCTGCATTGGTTTTGGGTTTTTTTGACAGCTAGAAGTTGTCACTGCACCATAGGCTAGTATTTGGTTTCCTTCAGAGGCCTAGATGGGATACTCTTGCTTGCCAAACTTGTCTCTTTTGATAATAGAATTTGGAGACATGGTACAGGTCTTTCTTGAAACAGAAATAAAACTATGTCCTGAATACTTTTTTTTTAAATGTGTCCTTAAATTGTTAAAAGTATTTTCTTTCCCATACAGTATATAGTAAATACAATCAGGTTGCCTTATTCCAATTTGACAATTTAAAAAAAAAAATCCAGTTCGTTGCTTTTTCTGTGCATCTTGTATTACTTTCTGCAATTGCAGG